GATGTGCAGCTGGAGAAGGCGTGGCATCGGATCTCGATTGGCTCCTTATTGGTGGGTGGGGCAAGATGAGCTATGTTGCGATTATGGTAGCGAATCTGCTTTAAGGCCCACTACTGTATCGCTATTACCCCATCTGAGCAGCTCCTCCTCCTTCTTGCTTATCTCCATTCTCCTTTCTAGTTCCATAATAGTAAGGTTTAGCATATGTCTTCACCTTCCACACCCTCGATGGGCGGATTGGCTCCATCCAGTCTTGAGCAGATATTACGTCTCCGACATGAGAGAAATCAACGAACGCCAAAATGCGCCCGGTGTAGAAATCATGGAACAGTTTCGGCATTGAAAGGTGCGTTATAGCTTCATCTGGAAGAAATGCTTCCTCAGTTAGTTCCGCTAAGAATTTAGATTAAATCACTTTTTATAAGTAAGAAAATGGAGCAACTCGGAAACGGTTCAACTTTGCAATCTCGATTTTAACAAAAAAGTTGTGCAAGAGGCATTTCCATCAAAAAAGTCTTACCAAAAACAATATTCGCACCTTTTCAATTCCAACAATACCGCTACTGATGAAACTCAGTAAAGTTGGTTTTTCGATTCGTAATAGAAACTCAAAAGAGCGATTTTTGTTTTCTTAAGATAAAATTAAGTAGCGAAAAAAATTTCAGGTCACAAACGTTTCTGTAAGTGGAAGGACTGCATGTGTGCGAAATGTACTCTAATAGCAGAAAGGCAGAGAGTTATGGCTGCACAGGTAAGTAAACCACATTATCTCGTCTGCTGTTCCATCGCAGTTCCTCAATAACTCTTTAGGTTGCTCTACGACGTCAACAAAGTCAAGAGGAAAAAGAAGCAAAGGATCTTCAAATTCTTCTTGGAGGAAACGGTAGGTTAACTTACTGTTCTGCTCATTCCCCAATCCAAGCCAGCTTAAACCAACTTTCTCCTGCGAATGCAAATATTTTCCTTCTATGGAAGAGCTGTAGCTTGTGTTGTCACGCAACATTCAACTCATTAGCATTGTGACCAGGTGCGGATGAACGCAAATATGACCTGCTGTGATTCACCTTTCGTGTCTATTGGGACAAGTCAATGGGGAAGCCAACACTCTTTAACACTCGCAAGCCTACACTAAACACACACACTTGTGCACTTCCCTGCTAAATATGACACCCTACTGTAAACATGAAGGAAGCATTACATTCTCATGGATGAAGCGACTCTATAAGCTTATCGCTTTCTTGTAACTGCGTTGCGCTGAAAACAAGAGCTCAGATTTGAGAAGTAAAAAGTATTATTTTTACCGTAAGGTGGATGGGCACAGAATTTTTTTTGGCAAAGAAACAAAGAGCTCAACTTCAAAACTTCTAAATTTAGATTGATGCGGAAACTAATTTTGGTGCATATAGGTTTCAAAGCTTGCTACCTGGGATTGTACCACCTAACTCAAGATTGAATTTCCTTCTTTAGA